CAGTCGGCCCCGCCCCCACGCACGTGCCGCCGGCCATGGCGCCGAAGAAGACAGGCACGGCCTTTGCCGTGGCCTTGAGCACGGCCTTCCCAGAGAGCCCGGCGACCGCCGCGCCCTCGGCGCGCGGCGCGCTCGGCAGCCCACGACCGCCCCGCGCTCGGGCATCCGCCGTCGTCGCGTTCGGTGGCAAATCATGGGAGCCTCGTGTGTCCTCGCAGTTCCGCTTTTGCAGCGCACCAGCGCCGATTATAGCGTCGGTTCAGCGTCGACCGGCGTCGATCAGCGTCGGTTCGCAAAAGCCAACACAGTGGCATGGGAGGCTCCCGTGACTTGCCACAAAGGAGGAAGGGGAGGAGGAGGAGGAGGAGGAGGAGGAGGGGGAGGAGGAGGGGGAGGAGAAGGAGAAGGAGGAGGAGGAGGAACGGCCGCTCTTCTGGGATATGAGCCGGCCGACGCCTGGGCACCGAGCCGAGGCCACGCCCAAGGCCGCCCCGCAGCCGCAGGCGCTGGGCAGCCCCGCTGGGGCCGCGGGCGGCACGCCCGCGAAGGCGGGGCGGCCCAGCAGGGCGGCTCCAACCGGGTCGGCCCAGAGGGGTTCGTAGTCCTCCTCCTCCTCCTCCTCCTCCTCCTCCCCTCCTCCTCCTCCTCCTCCTCCTCCTCCTCCCCCTCACTTAACCCTTCGCGTTTGTTCCGATTCCGATTCCGCGTCCTCGTCCTTTTTCTTCTCCTCCTCCTCCTCCTCCTCCTCCTCCTCCTCCTCCTCCTCCTCCTAGGGGGGGTTATCCCAAGGTGGGGGTTGGGAACGAGCCCAGCAGGACGCTCACATGTCCTTCTTCCCTGGGGCCGGAGGATCGTGTCGCATCGCCGATGCATCGCCGATGCGGCTCGATGTGGAACCCGATTTTCTCCACGCCGATGTCGGCTAAGCATCACCGAAGTCGCCGATGCATCGCCGATGTATCGCCGATGCATCGCCGATGCAGTGTCGATGCATTGGCGATGAGGCGCGATTCTCCGACCCATCTAGGAGGCCTCTGCCAGAGGGGGGTGATGACCACCTTGAGATTCTGGCGACGGGGCACAAAAAGACGACAGCAAGTGTTGGGTAAGTTTCTACCTCTGGGGGCCCTCGCCAGGCCGTGGGGCAGTCAAACGACGACTCAGGATGACCACCTTTCGGGGAACAGATGATGACCTAAACATAAACTTTCGGAGGACCGCTCGGACCTCCGAAAGTTTAGGTGCATGTCATGATTTGTTATCCGAACCTTGAGATCCTGGCGACGATTGAAAAAAAACACGACGAACAGTTTTGGCAGTTGTCTGCCTCTGGGGGCCTTCGCTGGTCCTCGGGGCCGTCAGACAGGGACTCAGGATGAACAACTGGTTCCAGGAATGGGTCGAAACCTTTGGGGGTCGACGTCATGAAAAAAACATGACGGCAAGGGTCTGGTAATCCCGGCGACTCCATGTTTTCGAGCAGGCGTTTTCGCCCGTTTTCGGGACCCAGGATCTTCACAGATCGATCCCGCTCGAAAAATGGCGCAGAAAGATGGTGTGCGTCGCTTTGCTCGTGTGTTTTCACGACGCTGCTTTTGTTTCGTTACGTCAGATCTCAGAGTACAGTCAACCCGCATAGTAAGGATGGCCATCCTTCCCAAGGGTACCCCTGCATCCTTGCCTCCTCGGTCCATCCTCGGCCACTTTCGTTGGCCGCGCCCCGCTCGAAAAGCTTCGACGTGGCTCCTTATCGCGCATCCTTCTGATACGGGCCGACTGTAGTGGATCTCATGGCCAGTGCCATGATGTTTCCTGGATTATCATGTCCCATCCTCTTCCTTCAATGCGTCCCTTGGTCCGCCCTTCGTCCACGCACATATCTCGGGACATGATTTGCGAACCCTCTGGGACGCCCCCAATTTCTGGGCTGGTCCACCCTGGCATCACGTCGTGAGCAGGAAAAGTCGCGGCGGAAGGTTTCTGGATGTTCTCGGCCTCCGGGGGACCCTTGCGGGGACCGGGACCGTCGAGGAAAGGAAGACCAGCCCGGGGGAAACGCGGCAGACCTCCCGGGGTCACGCAGCGAAAGGAATCGCGACGACGGAGATCTGGGTAATCATGAGATGGCTTTTTTCCACACCCTGCATGGGCGATATCGCGGGTGATACCCCCCCTCCACCCCCCTCCACCCGCAGCTTCAGAATGCCTAGGGGGCCAGGTTTAGAGGGTCGGGGCGCAGGGCGCTCGGGAGGCGTGCCCCTTTCTTCTTCAATCTGCAATGTCTGTTGGGGATCAACTGGCCGCCATGGGCGATGCGCCGACACCTCCAAAGTTGCACCGACGACCAGAAAATACATTTGTCAGGTTCCTGCGCGCAGCTCTATGGAAAGGCAGGAGACCTGGCCCAGGAACATACTCAACCCATAACGTAACGCCCCTCCCCAATGAGTCCCTGGCACTGCCGCAGTCCGTCCAGTACCACAGTCTAAGGTGCCGGATCCACTCGGCGGGTGGACTGGGGGGGCGCCTCTTTTACGCCCCCCCTCCCCTCCCCCCTCCCCACGACGCTTGTTGTCGCCGCGAATAAGAAAATACTCTCTATGTAGGTGCTGCCGAGGCGAGAGCGCCACTTCGAGCCAGGGAGTGTGGCCGGCGCTGAGAGGCGGGGCGTCGAGTGCAGGGGTCGTCGCCGTTACTCTGGTCTGGGGGTGGAGTCAGCGCTGAGTCAGAGGAGCCAAGAGAGGTCATGATGGTGACGCGTTCCAGCATTTACCAGATTCCCCGATGTTCTAAGCGGGCTGCACAAACGATGGCCGCTTTGTACCCCGGAAGTCCTGGAACGCATCCCGAGCCAATCGTATCATGATATCGTGTTCGTCTTACCGAGAGCTCCAGTCTGACCTGGGCTCATGTCTAGCACTGCGTCGAGAGCACCAGTCCGAGCCCAGAACCCGTCGGGCACCAAGACGAAGACCCCATGTCGGGGGTTGTTGCGGGCGCCGGCAGGGCGCGTGCCTCGCCAGCGCACGATCCGAAGCTGAACCCAGCAAACAGCGGATAACATCAGCCATCGATCAATGATGACCCTTCCCTCCAGGCTTTAAGCCGCTCGTACTCGCCGTTCGTCTGGGGAGGACTTCGCCTCCTGGGTCGCGATTCCCGTGCCCCCTGCTACTATCGCCACCCAGAGGTTGCGCAGAGATTGGTGTCGAGGAAAGAATGGCCCGTCACTCCTGTCTCCTAGACCGTGATCAGTCAGCTCCGCCATGCGCGGGACCGATTTCTCAATCTCGCGCGTCCAGGGGGTCGTGACGCCCTGTCGCCCCTGCTGGGCGAGTGCCATCTTCTTTGCCCACGCGGTTACACCTGCGGCGTGCTCGCCGCGTCCGCGGAGCTCCCCTTCGGCGTGTCTACCAGCGCGCGCCCTCTGGCATGCCCAGGGACTTGCACCGTGGGCTGCGGGTGACCAATGAGTGGATTTCCTCCGAGCTGGCCTTGGTTGCCTCATTGCCATTGCTGTTTTGCACTCCTCAGGCCAATGTGCGAGCGGCCTGCCGCGTCGTGTTTGTCCCTCCTTGATTGCTAGTGCTCGTTCTAATCGCGGTCGCGGCCTCAACGCGCCCTCTGAGGACTAATCGCTAACCCCCGTCTGGGAGTAACCGGTTTTATCGCGTGTCTTGTCGCCACGAATCAGTTGTTGACTGACATGGTCTCGCCTCGCAGAGTGAGCTGTCCATGGCTTAGCCACACTGGTAAATGTAGTTGAGGTCGCTGAGACTGATGCTTCCCGGCCTCCCACAGCGTTCCGCCAAGAGGGCTCGCAATCCTGGAACAGCTCGGGGAATCCCACGGGAAGTGTGACACTGGGAAACCGCTCGTCTGCCGAGCGCGCCAGCGCCGAGATCCGCCCGTGCACCCTTCGGCCGCTCTCAGCCCGTGAGGTCCTCGCAGACGCACCTGCACTGCGCTGCCCTCGGAAGGCCCCCCCTCCCCCGCGAAGCGAAGCCTCCCGGGGCACGCCCCCCGACGAGGACCCCAGCCTTCGGCCGGCCCTCGGCACGGCGAGCAGCCGGCGCCCCCCCCCAAGGCCGCGCGCGGGGGCCGCCCGAAGAAGGCCACCGCCGAGCCCGACGCGGCAGGCGGCGCCGCCGAGAGGGCGGCCTGCGCGACGCCGCCGCCGAGGAAGCGCGGCGGCGGGGCCGGCAAGGCGGTCGCAGAGGTCGGAGGGCACCAACTAGCCTTGAGAGTCAGTCGGGCGTGTCCCTCTAGAGGAGGAATGTTCAAAAATAGTAAAAGAATCATCGGGGGACGATTCACGGACTACTTTCGATTATGTTTGATGGATTTGTTGTGAAATTGTTTAATTAGTCGCCCAAGATCCGCTTGTAGGAGGACATCCCCGACCTAAAATTAGCCTTGAGATCCTGGCGTCACATTCTGTTCGAGCCAGCGGAGCGTTTTCGCCCAGACGCGGGAGCCAGGCCCTCACGGACCGATGCGGCTCGAAAAAGATGGCGCAGGAAGATGGTGTGCGGGGCTTGGGTCGCGTTTTTGTCACGATGTTGCATTTTGGTTCGCTACGTCGGCTCTCGGGGATGCACCTACACCGACCCTGGGCCCAGGGATCAGTGTGCTATATGCCTCCCTGCCCAAGCCGGGAGGGCGCTTACACACCGATCCTGGGCCCGGGAGGAGCGAGGCCAGGGTCGGTGTGCGTGTATTGTTTGCGCACTCCGAGGAGGCCCAGGGGGCACCCGAGGCAGCCACCGAGCCGCCCCTCAAGAGGGGGAAGAGCTCGTCCGGCGCGCTGAAGCTGCCCGTGCCCCGCTCTCCCACGCCGCGCGCGCAGCAGCCCCCAGAGGGCAGCAGGGTGCTCCGGCTGCTGTCGATCAACGTGGCGGGGCTGAGGCCCGTGCTCGCGGGGGACAAGGCGGCGGTGCTGAAGGCCACGGTGGAGCGCGAGGCGCCCGACGTGCTCTGCCTCAGCGAGCACAAGCTCAAGGGCGAGGACGTGGGGGCCGCCGAGGAGCGGCTCCGCGAGCTGCTGCCCGAGTACACCGCGGCGCGCTGGGCAGTCAGCACCGCCAAGAAGGGCTACTCGGGCGTGGCCGTGCTGCTCCGGGGCCCCGCCGCGGGCGCGGGGCAGGCCGCGCCGATCGCGGACCCTGCCGCGGTGGCGGCCGCCGCGACGGAGGGCATGGGCGAGGGGCTGGACACGGGGGAGAGGAAAGCGACACCACCACCTCCAACAACACCAGGGGGGGCATCTTTATCGAGGAGGTCCACGATGCCTCACCGAGCTGGGGACAGCACCTCCATCGAGGAGGTCCCCGATGCCTCCCCGAGCTGGGAATAGGGGATGTCTCGAGCGAGAGGGGGGGACCACACCACCAGGCGGAGCCCCTGGTTCCTCCCGCAAGTGGTCCCTGGTGGTGGTGGTGTCGCTTTTCCTTGTCCCTAGGACAAGGACACGATCATCTCACAGGAGGGCCGCCTGCTGACCCTCGAGTTGCCCGAGCTGCTCATTGTCGCGGCGTACGTGCCGAACTCTGGCATGGACCTGAAGCGGCTGGCCTACCGCACCGATCGGGGCCTCGAGAGCTGCTGGGACCGCTCTCTGGGGGAGTACGTCTGCAGGCTGCGGGAGGCCAGGGGCAAGCCCGTCGTCGTGATGGGCGACATGAACTGCGCCCACCGCGTCCAGGACATTTGGAACATGCACGAGAGGTTGGCGGCACCCACAGGGGGGGGGAGCGGGGGGGCAGGGGTGCAGCTTTTTAAGTTCGCGAGGGAGGGCTCCTAGAAGTAGGGGGCCTTCTCAGAAGCCCTCCAAGCCTCTAAGAAGCCCTCTCGTAAGCATCCAGGCCCTTCTCCGAAGGCCATGTTCTTACGAGAGAGCCCCCTACCGTCAAGGTCGCCACCCCTGCGCTGCTGGCAAGACGCTGAAGTACGGACCACTTTGGGCTCGGGAGGGGCTGTGCTCCTCGGACCGCTCCGCAGACCTGGGGCTGGAGAGCTCGTTCCCGTGCCCGAGGCTCGCCGATGTCAGAACCGCCCCTTCTTTCCTGATGCGGCGCCCCTCATGGCAGCACGAGGGCTGCACACCCTCTCGACGGAGGAGGAGGAGGAGGAGGAGGAGGAGGAGAGGAGGAGGAGGAGGAGGCAGATCAGGAGGAGGAAGAGGAGGAGGAGGAGGAGGAGGAGAAGGAGGAGGAGCAGGCAGATCAGGAGGAGGAAGAGGAGGCGGAGGAGGAGGAAGAGGAGGAGGAGGAGGAGGAGGGATGATGGGATGGAGGGAAGGAGGAGGAGGAGGAGGAGGAGGAGGAGGAGGAGCAGGAGGAGAGGAGGAGATGGAGGAGATGGAGGAGGAGGAGGAGGAGGAGGAGGAGGAGGAGGAGGAGGAGGAGGAGGAGGGAGGGAGGAGGGAGGGAGGGAGGGAGGGAGGAGGGAGGGAGGGAGGGAGGGAGGGAGGGAGGGAGGGAGGGAAGGAAGGGAGGAGGAGGAGGGAGGATCAGGGATGATGAGGAGGAGGAGGAGAAGGAGGAGGCAGATCAGGAGGAGGAAGGAGGGAGGAGGGAGGAGCAAGGAGGAGGCAGATCAGGAGGAGGAAGGAGGAAGGAGGGAGGAGGGAGGAGGGAGGAGGAAGGAGGAGGGAGGGAGGAGGGAGGCGGGAGTAGGAGGTATAGAGGAGGGAGGAGAGCTTCCGTGAGACTCACACGTGGTGCCAGCAGGCGGGGAAGTGCCTACTTGGGGCCACACTGCGCACCTGGGGCATGAAAGCAGGAGCCCAACCGTCGGCGGCAATGGGGCCTAGGCAGGCCAGGTCCTCCGACAAACTTTTCCAGGAAGCCACGCAACTGGCCGAGGTCCATGACGTCGACGACGTCCGCGTGGTGGGGGCTCGCGCACGGCAGCACCATGATCCGCTCGATCAAGTCCGCGCGCACGGCCGCCCCCGACCAGCATCCGCTTGCGCCGAAGCCGCCGGCGCCGCCGCGGGCGCCGCAGGCGCCAGGGAGCAGCCGCCTCCGCAGCAGCATCATGAGGGGCGCCGCGTCGCTGCCTGCGCCGTGCGCGGGGCATCGGGGAGTCGGCCCAGTCGCCGTCGAGGACCGCGGCGTCGTCGGGTGCCGCGAGCGCGAGGCCGTCGAGCGCCATAGGCGCGGCAGCCGCGTAGCCAGCCTTCTCCTCAGCAGCAGCTTGTCCTCGTTCTAGTGCGCGCCGTCCAGCGAGCGGCTGGCGCCGCCTCCTGCGCCGCTCGCGCTTCGCCCCCATGGAGGCACGCGCAGGGTCGCCAACCACTGTGTTGTCGTCATCCTTCCTTCGGTAGTTGCATCCGCAGGTGGCAAGTGCGGGCCAGCGCATGCAAAGATGCGAAGAGTGCTGCTAATACCTCGGAGCGTGTTACCGGTGCCACGGTCCACCTGGTGGAGTTGGCGAGCACTGCTGCGCGAACCGCTGCCTCGACGAGGCAGGCCGCATCCAGCGCAGCGCGAGCCCCTCTAGCGCGCGCGCCTGTCACCATCGCGGAAGATGAGTCGGCGGCGAGCGGGTTTGCGATCGCTTGGGCCAGACTGGTTACGGAGTGAAGGAGGGAGGAGGTGGAGGGAGGAGGGACGAGGGACGAGGTACGAGGAGGGAAGAGGAGGAGGAGGAGGAGGAGGAGGAGGAGGAGGAGGAGGAGGAGGAGGAGGAGGAGGAGGAGGGGGTGGAGGAGGAGGAGGAGGAGGAGGAGGAGGAGAAGGAGAAGGAGGATGGATGGAGGAAGAAGAAGGGAGGGTTTTGTGCGCGCCGTCAGAGGCCCGACTTTCCCGAGGGGCTCTCTGCGAAGCCCGTGGACGCGCAGTACACCGGGCTCACGGCCCTGAAGAAGCAGTCTGGCCTGACGCCCGAGGAGCGCCTGTCTCTCTCCTCGCTGCTGGAGCGCGCGGGGCTGGTGGACACGTTCCGGGCCGTTCACCCAGAGGCGAGGGCGACCTCCTCCTCCCTCGCCCGCGCTCCCTCGCCATGAAGCAGGCCCAGCCGTGCCACGTCTTGAGACAAGCAGGGCGGCGTGTTTCCGCCGCTGTCGGCCCTCGCCGGGCCCCAGGACCGCAGCAAAAGCGATGCGGGATGAACAACCAGCCGTGGGGAACGGGTCGAGACCTCGGGGGGCCCCCGTACATCGACACGATGCCTGGGAACCGGTCAGGCTCCCGGGGCCCTCCTCGGGCCCAGGGGCCGGCAACAAGAGCAGCTGAGGACCAGGAGCCGGTCCCCCAGGGGGAGGGCTCCAGGGTCCAGGACCCGTCTCCCTCAGGGCCCGCCTGCTTCCGGCCAAAGTCCCCCTCTCCGCGGCGGGGCCCCCTTGGCCTTCCAGAGTGCCGAAGAGGAGCCCTCCAGACCCGCAGACCTCTCCCGACGGCCCGAAGCCTCGGCAGGAACGCTGGGGCTTTTTAAAGTCTGGATGCTCTGCTGCTGCCCCTCCTGGGAGATCAGGCTCGGCGGGGGGCAACGGGCGCGGGCGACGTCGGCCGACCAGCCCGCCGATCCTGGCCGAGCCCCCGCTCCTGGGCCCGGGGCCCGGGCGGTTCTGCCGGGCCTCCCGGCCCGGCCACAGGGAGCCCTGACTTTCCAGGAGGGCTAAAACATAGCACCCGACTTAAAAACCTATCCCAGAGCTATTCTGCGTCTTGGTTTTAGGCTGTTTCGCTCGGCTTTTTAGGTTTTGTTGGTCTCCAGTGCTAAAAAAAATAGCTCTCTGGAAGGTCAGGGAGGCGTGGGCACCGCTCATCCGGGCCCGGGAGCGGCCTCTGCGGTCGGGGTCCCGTGATGCAGCGGTCGGTGGCCGCCCCCCGGCCCGGGAGACGGCGGGGGTCCACGCAGGGCCAGGGCGGCATTGACCCGGGCTTGGGCGCAGGATCCTGCAGGATGTTGCAGGATCCTGCGCATTGACCCGGGCTTGGGTGCAGGATCTTGCAGGATCCCGCAAGGCCTGACTGACCCGGGTCTGGATTGACCCGCGGGTCAGAAGATCCCCGAGTGCGTGGGCGGGGCGGGCGCGAAAAGGCCAGGGGGCGGGGAGGGATGAGAGAGGGGGGGGGGAGGGAGGGCGGAGGAGGGGAGGGGGGCAGGAGAGGAGGAGGGGGGGGGAGCGGAAAGGCTGAGGAGGGCCGAGGGTCAGAGAGCGCCTTGCTCTGCAGGACCACCAGAAAAGGGGACGTCAAGGTGGTCAAACGCCTCGCCGTTCAAGCTGGCGGAGATGTGCAAAGTCCAACCGTTCGCCTATGTCCAGAGCTTCGGCTCGACGCCCGGTGTGTTTCATCAGTTTCAGCTTGACGGAACCGGTTGGTTGCGCCCCTTGACGTTTGTTTGGGGTGCTCTGCAGACCTGACCCCCCAGCCCTACCCAGCGGAAAGGCTCCGAGACGGGGAGGGGAAGCAGGAGGAGAGACTGGGCTGGAGGCAGAGCCCGCCTCCTGCGCAGTGGCAGGGCGTGGCAGGTCTCGTGCCCACTGGGGAGCTCCCCGGCTGCCCCGCCGATCTGTTGTCCCGCGCGCCCGGGTTTTTCGCCACGAGTGCTCGCGGTTCGGCCGCTTCGGCTGCGTCGCAGTCCGTTGCGTTCGGTCGGTTCGGCTCGGTCGGTGACTGTGCCGTTGCCGCGCCGCTGGGCCCTTCTGGGCTGCTTGCGACCCGGCGATGTCGCTCGGTTTCGGTGTCGCTGCCAGTTCGGTCGGCGTGCGGCTTCGCTGCCGCCGTGCGCGGCCTCGGTTCCCAGACCTCCCAAGTCTCGAACAAGCTCATGGCGGAGGCTTTCCCCTGCTCTCGGCCTCCTTGGGGCCCCCGCCAGGCCCCTGGAGCGTCAACAAGACGACCCCAGATGAGAAGTGGAGTCCCTAGGGAAAGGTCAGGACGTCCGAGGCCCCCGCACTGAAGAAATGGAGACATCGGAGGTCTGGGCGTCGGGCTTCTAAATCGCCTCCCCCCCCTGGACCTTCTGGTGCGTTCCGACCAGAATCGGGCGGGTGGTAATGGGGGGTGGCCTAACTGGGGGGTGAAGACACGGGCCCCAAAGAGGCTCTGAAGGTCCTCTTCTGGGCCCCTGCTGGCTCAAAAAGGGGTCCTACAAGGCCCCATTTAGGGCCTTTCTCTTCACCCCCCCGTTGAAGTCACCCCCCACTGCCACCCGCCCGACGGAACCCCCGGGCGGATCCGGCCGCGGCGACCGCCGACGAGGAGGCCCAGAGAGGAGCGCACAGAGGAGCGCCCAAGAGCCTCGGCCCCCTCCGCAGGCGAGCGGCGTGTTCTCCTCCTCCTCCTCCTCCTCCTCCTCCTCCTCCTCCTCCGCCCCCTCCTCTGCCCCCTCCTCCGTCCCCTCCTCCTCCTCCTCCTCCTCGTCCTACTCCTCCTCCTCATCCGCCTCCTCCGCCGCCTCCTCCTCCTCCTCCTCCCTCCGCAGGCGAGCGGCGTGTTCTCCTTCTTCTCGCAGCGCACCGTCCAGAACCGGCGCGCCCGCAGAAAGCACCCCAGAGCACCGCCGCCGCGTGCCCCAGCCGGGGCCAGCCTGGGCTTTCCGTTGACGTGCAGGCCCTGTTGGCCTCGGCACCGTGCCACTGAGCACCGCTCGGACGTGTGCATTTTCTTTTCCCGGCGGGAGCCATCGAGGAGCATCTCGGGCCACCTCAGGGCCCGAGCTAAACGGTGTTTGGGCGATTTCATGGGCCGTTTCCTTTCTGATTGCGTTTCGCAGCAAAGGGCAGAACGCAGAAAGAGCGAGGGAAAACGAGAACAGCACGAAAACGAGCAAAAACTGTTTACCTCGAGCCCGCGGTGATCTGTGCCATCTTCCGAGACAGAGGAAAAACAGCAATAAAAAAAAGAAATAAAACGCGCGAGACCCAGAGATGCACGGGGCGTGGACGCCCGAGCGATGGCCATGCCAGGGGGGCCCAGGGCGGCGCACGGCCAGGCACGTCGGGGCGGACGGAGCGGGGGGTGGAAATGGGCAACACTGGGAGGGGGGTGCGCGCCGGCTGCGGCGTGCAGCTGTCAGGCGATCGCAAGCGTGGATCGGAGGGGGCGTGGATTGGCGACGGGTCCCGCTTCCATTGGGAAGCCGCGGATTTCCGCCGCCGAACGAGGCGGCACCGGACGCATTTTGGGGAGGGCTTTTCCCCCGATCCATGGATTTGGCGACCGCGCGCCGAAATCCAGGGATCGCCAGTCCATGCTTGCGCGCCCCCGAGGCTGGTTTCTGCCCCGCTGCCCGGCTTGCTTCTCGATGCGCAGTCGACCCCTGCGCCGGGGGGCCCCAGGAACGCTTGCTGCATGCCGCTGCTTCGCCAACCCCCCTCTGCTGCCCACCCCCCCCCTTTGTTCTCCGGCCCGAGCGGCATTTACAGATATCCTCAGCGGCGAGCAATGGGGGGGGAAGGAGAACGGCCCCACTTTCAGAAGGCGGCTGGGTTTCTCGGAAACTCTCGCGCCTTCTGAAAGGTTTCCCGCGTCTCCGGGGAAGGCTCTGAAGCCCTCCCAGACGGCCGAGGAGCTTCCGAGCCTTCTGAGAAGGCCCGCCCCTTCTCATTTCCCCCCCGGGGGCTGGCCGCCGACATTCAATGTTTTGATCTTTTCAATGCAGGGTCCCCTGAAGTCCTGCTTCCAAGCAGCAGCCTGCTTGTCTCCAGGGTGCCCCAGGTTTCTCGGGTCTCGATGGCTTCGCGATGGAAGGCGCACCGTTCCCACGCCAAAAAGCAGTGGGCGTCCTGGGGTCTCAGGGTTGGGCTTCTCGCGGAAGGTCTCATTCGAATAGGGGATCGACTACAGAGTCGATGCACTCTAAAATTGGGTATCCCGCCGAAGATACAAGAAACCCGTAGAATGTTCGCAGATCTACAGCACATGATGCGTATTTCTGTTGTATATCGACTCGGCGAGACAATCAAAGATTGGGGTCCATCTGTTCTGCAGTCGACCCCCTACTCGATGCTTGTGGTCGAGCTGCTGCTGCAGGCCCCTGAACCGGGGCCTGCGCCTGGACTACGCCCTGGCCTCCGACGCGCTCTGCGCCCACCTGCGAGACGGCGCGCCGCCGGCGGCGGCGCTGCCGCGAGCCTAAACCTCGCTGCTCCCGCGGCGCGCCCGCCCGACGGGGGGCCACAGCAGGGGGAGGCCCCGACCCCCCTTCGCCCACTCATGAATCGGCGATCGCAGACGTGGATCGGAGGGGGCGTGGATTGGCGACGGGTCCCGCTTCCATGGGAAGCCGAGGATTTCCGCCGCCGGACGAGGCGGCACCGGCCGCATTTGGGGGGAGGGCACCTCCCCCGATGCATGGATTTGGCGACCGCGCGCCAAATCCAGGGATCGCCAGTCCATCTTTGCGCGCCCGCACTCACTGTTTGGGGCCTGATAGCCCGCCCCGCCAAGGAACGCGCGGATTCGATATCGGGGGCCTATCGCCGATGCATCGCCGGTTCCAGGCCGAGGCCGCCCTCCCTGCGCCGAGTCCCCCCGTAAGGTTCACCCTCGCCACAGGACCCAGTGTCGGCAAGCAGGCTCCCAGACTTCTGGAGCGTTCCCATTTCCAGCCCCGACACTTCTCTTACATTTTGGCGTCCGGGGGTGGTTCTCGGGCCCCGGGTCCATGAGGAGTTGATCTGGGGCGACCAATTGCGGGGGAAGGGTCGACACCTCCGGAGAATCACGTCGTCGTCTGGACCTGGGTCGCCAGCAGGTAGTCAAGACGTGGCTGGATCAGAATGTCTTGCTGGGGTCTGCTCTGCTCTATCGGCCCTGCCGCCGAGGCTGCCATCAGGGGCAACGACAGGGGGGACGGCACAGGGGGATGCATCAACCCCCAATCGCCCATTGATCGCCGAGAAGCGATAGGGGCCCCATAGCCCGAAACTGCCCAAGAACGTGCTGGTTCACCATCGGGGGCCTACCGCCGATTCTGGGTCGATGTATCGCTGGCTCTGGGTCGATGTGTCCCCCCCTTCCCCCTGCAGGTCCGCCCCTCTCGCTGCCCCTCCTGCCAGTGAGTGGCGGGTGGGGTGGGCTCGCTCGCCCTGGGTGGGCGAGTCGGCCGATCGGCCTTCTGCTCGTCAGCTTGGCGGTGCCGACGGCCGAGAGCCCCCCGAGCACGGCCCTGTCCAGGGCAGGCCTGCCGTGTCGGGCCGGCAGGGCCCGGGGGTCGGGCGGGCCGGCGGGGCCCGTGGGCAGCCGAGGCCTCGGGTACACGACAGCTTCATCCTGGACGAGTGCGAGCAGGCCCGGGGGTCGGAGGAGGAGAGGGTGCCGATGCCGCCAGCCGTGCCTCGCGCTGTTCCCTTTTTTGGGGGCCCCCGGGGAGGAGGCTCTCCTCGCCACCCCCCTGGAGTCGCCCCGAGATGCTGGTCAGAACGCACCCCTGGCTCCTCCTCCTCCTCCTCCTCCTCCTCCTCCTCCTCCTCCTCCTCCTCCTCCTGATTGCACTATCCTCCTCCTCCTCCTCCTCCTCCTCCTCCTCCTCCTCCTCCTCCTCCTCCTTCTGGGGAGAAACGGTATCGGTGCCTTCTTGTCTCCCCGAGTGGGGCCAGTTGAGCGGGGGAGAGGTCGCTGGACGCCCCCCCCCCCCTGGGGTCCCGAGATGGGCGAGCTCGGACGAGCAGGAGCGTAGCGGCGTAGCGCTCGATCTGGGGGATTCGGACGGAGCCCCCGCATCCGTTCCGTCCCGAGCCAATGCTCAGGCGATCGCAAACGTGGATCGAGGGGGCGTGGATTGGCGACGGGTCCCGTTTCCATGGGAAACCGCCGATTTCCGCCGCCGAACGAGGCGGCACCGGCCGCATTTGGGGGAGGGCACCTCCCCTGATCCATGGATTTGGAGACCGCGCGGCAAAATCGCTAGTCCGTTTTTGCGCGCCCCGAAATGCAGCGAGGACGCCGCAACGAGGGCCCCCCCTCTGCGCTCGGGGGGGGCTCTGGCTTTCCTCTCCGCGTGGCCGAGGCTGGCCGTGGCCAGGAGAGGCCCTTCGCTCCTTGTGCAGCGCTCCTGACGGCAGCACGAGGACTGCCTATACCTTGAGCATGCCTGGGGGGCGTCTAGAGTTCGGGGCGCAGGGCGCTCGGGAGGCGTGCCGCTTTCTTTCTCGATTTGCAGTGTCTGTTTGGGATTCACTGGCCGCCATGGGCGACGCGCCGACACCTACAAAGCTGCACCGACGACCAGAAAAGAACGGTGTCAGGCTCCTGCGCGCAGCTCAATGGACAGGCAGGGGACCTGGCTCAGGAACATATACCCCTCCCCTCCCTGCCCGTGTCCCAGGGCCGCCATGAGCGATTTTCGACCACCTCCTTTGCGCTCCGTCCTCCGAGCGCGCGCTCGGGCTCGCCGCTTCCAGTCCCGGAGAGGTGGCGGACCACTCCGCCGTGGGCTGCTGGGTCCTGCTGCCGCCCGCTGCGCCAGCAGCGGAGGCGGCCGGGGGGCCTCAGGCTAGCGCCTGACGAGGAGCGCGCGCGGAGCACGGCCAGCTCCGGTCTCCGGTCAGGACCGCCCACACGGGGCCAGAGCAGACGGGGTCGGAGGGTCGGCCGGCATCGCTGATGCCTCGGCGAGGGGCGCGAGCGACGTCGCCGCTGAATCGGCGATGCGGTGCGATCCTCCGACCCTTGGGTTTCTTCTCCGGCCCCTTGTTTGCGCGGCCTGGGTCTGGCCTTCTGTCGGACGTCGGACGGGGCTAGGACGAGGATCATAAATCCATTCCAGAGCTTTCTGGAACGCTCTGAGAAGGCCGCGGCGCGCATGACATCCTCCAGAGCCGCCGGCTCTCAGAGGTTCTCGATCTGCCTCACCTCGTCTGACCTTCTGCCCCTTCCTGGGGTGGCTGCCGCACGGCCCGCGCTGGGGGGGGGGCGAAGGGAGGCTCCGAGTGCCACGCGCGATACTCGGGCGGCGGCCGCGGGCGCCCAGGGGTGTGCGCCAGCCAGCGGCAGAGAAGGTCGCGCCGGCAGCAGGAGAGGATCGGCGGCGCGTGCACCGCGGGGTGCAGGGCGAGGGGGGCGGCCTTGCGCGAGAGGAGGCGCCTCGCCCCTCGGAAGTCCCCCTGCCGTCCATCAAAGGAAACGAGCCCGGCGCGACCCCAATCAATGAGGGGAAAGCTTCCCAATGCGTGGGCGCAGTGCTTGGCATGGCTCGGCGTCGCGTGGCGTTGCCTGGCAGTGCTGGGCAGTGCTGGGCATTGCTGGGCATGAGGCACTGGGGGCGGGAACCCTGGGGAACCCGGGGATTGGCATGGATTGTCATTGCTTGGCATTGCTTGGCACCCGGAGACCCCCCGGGAACCTCCAGACAGCGGGCAAACCTGGGAAATTTCTGGGCAACGGGCAACGCAAGAATCGGAGGCACCAGGGTCGGGGAACCCAGGGAACCTGGGGAACTTCTGGGCAACGGGCAACGAGGCCCCCCGAGGCACCAACCTTTAACCAAGTAAGAACCCATTAATTAGGCAAGCCAAGTTGGGGAATATGAGAACCACCCCGACCCCGACGATTGGCGTTTCTCAAGCGGCCCTGGGCGTGTAGAACACAGCCCTGCCCTGCTCGGCTCCTTCCTGGTGTGCGTTTGCGGAACGGCTTTGCGCTGGTCGGGGTGCTTATGCTGTGGGTGGATATTTCTGCCCTCTATTCGAAGCCCCCCTGCCTCCTCCTCCTCCTCCTCCTCCTCCTCCTCCTCCTCCTCCTCCTCCTCCTCCTCCTCCTCCTCCTCCTCCTCCTCCTCCTCCTCCTCCTCCTCCTCCCCCTCCTCCTCCTCCTCCTCCATGCTTCTCCAAGGCGCATTCTCGGAGGCCTCGGCGGAGGGGCCGACCCCTGCCAGGGTCCAGGGGGGGGGCCCTGGGAAGGCCGCCCCCCTCGCCCCGCCAAGGGTGCGGCTCGCTGCCAGGAGGGTGCAGAGGACGTGGGGGGGTAGGGTGAAGTCGGGCACTTCCTTCTGCAGGAGAGCTATTCAAAAGTAGTCGAAGAATAGTCTGGGGACGGTGTTCTGACTGTGTTTGACCATTTGGGGTGTGTTTATGTTTGACCATGTTTAACGTGTTGTCCAAAATCCGCCTGTAGGAGGACATGCCCGACCTAAGGATAGCGGGGGAGCGTTATCGGGGACGCCTACAGCGGATCACCGCCGCCCCCTGCCTTCTGGAATCGCCCACGTGGCGAAGCGTTGTGGCAGGAGTTCTGCCGAGCTCTCGGACCATGTGTGCCCCCAACCGTTGTGGAGACCCTTCGAGGAACATTTGCGGGGAAGATTAGGAGGAGGAGGAGGAGACGAGAGGAGAGGAGAGGAGAGGAGAGGAGAGGAGAGGAGAGGAGAGGAGGAAGAGGAGGAGGAGGAGGAGGAGGAGGACGGCGTTTCGAAGTAGTGTGTGGCCAGTGCCAGTACGGCACGCGGTGGAGGAAGAGAACAAAGTTTCGTGGACAACATTTGCGCTGATGACTGCAACGTGTTGAATAAGCAGTGCAGGGCCCGAAGAGGCCTGTGCTCACGCACGGGGAAAGCGCATTGGCACCTTTCAGGAAATTCTGAAACGGGAATTCACTGGACTGCTACTGCCGCAGAATATCTTCGCACCCTGGCCCGCGATTTAGCTTTTGCCTTCCTAGCCTCCACCAGATCCAGGTTTCGAGGGTGCTGACTGTGTGTGCTCGGATCTTATGTCTCCCCCTTTCGTGCCCTGGTTTCGCTCGCTTTCTAATCCTGGGAACATCTGGTTTGGGATGGTTCGGGACGACTGGCAGCGGCTGCGCGCAGACGCTGCCTGTGAGACTCGAGACGCATCCACCGCTGTGTGAGAGACTAAACATGGGAGTGCGTGCGCAGAAATGTTTGTTGATCACGTCCTGTCGCTCCCCCTGTCTCCTGACATAGCCTTTGGCTCCCGAGATCAACCGGCCCTCCCCCCCACCCTGTTTTTATTATTTTTCCTTTGTGCATCGGTCGAGATTGGTCTCACCGTGGGACAACTGGCAGCGGGCTGCGCGTAGACGCTGCCTGTGAGACTCGAGACGCATCCACCGCTGTGTGAGAGACTAAACATTCAAAGACCTGAAGAACATCAACGATTATTGCCTTGTCAGGGTCCTCTTGGAGGCCTCTTGGGCCGTCTTGGAGGCCTCTTGGGGGCCTCTTGGGCTGTCTTGGAAGCTTCTTGGGCCGACTTGGAGGCATCTTGGACCTCCTTGGGCCGTCTAGGAGGCCATCTTGGGACCATCTTGGCCGTCTTGGAGGCATCGGGGAGAGAATCTTTGACCATCTTGGCCATCTTGGAGGCCATCTTGAGCCATCTTAAGCGAAACAGCCGACGAGAGGGGCACCCCGGCGGGACTGGCCGAAGTCCCAGGGGAGAGTTCTTTTGTACAAAGAACCAAATACAAGAGCGATAGGATTTAACATGCCAGGCACCCCTGTGGCAAGCCAACAGGGGGCGGTCGATCTAGCGTCCTTCGGCCCATCCCGCCACTGTACCTGGGTTGTGGGTTCGGGCCTTCTTGGGCCCGAAAGAGTCGCGCGAGAAGACTCGCCAAGCCCAAGAAGATTTGAGAGCGAGGAGCCTGGGCCCCTTACAGACTCCCCAGGAGTGAGGATAGAGGCTTAGAGGATTGGGCAAAGGACCTGAGGACGCCCACTCCGAGCTCAGCGGCACGGTGGCGGATCTGTCTCATTCGAGTAGAAGATCGACTACAGGATTGAGTTCCCCAGAATTGAAATGTTCGCCGAATCTACAAAAACTGAAAAGCATAACACGTTCCGTACATGTACGGAACGTGTTATGTTTTTCAGTTTAAGGTTGTCTAAGGGGCCGTGCTTGCTTAAAGGTTGCTGCGTCGGGGGGCTTCGTTGCCCGTTGCCGGGAGGTTCCCCGGGTTCCCTCCCCCTGTGCCTCCGATTCCTCGTTGCCTGGAGGTTCCCTGAATTCCCCGGGTGCCTCTTCCCTAGGTTCCCTTCTGTAGTCGATCTCCTATCGACTCATTGTCGATCTGCATGGGGGTACTTCTCATGAGCATCGCTTCCGCATGGACCCCGTGGCCGCTGCACAGTCTTCGAGAGCTGCTGGGAGCTCGACCCAATGGACGTTTGTTTGGTTCAGGGTTTTCCATGCACGTGTCTTGGCGAATGTGACCTGATCGTGGAATGAATGCTGCGAAGGTTATTCATGCGACCGGTGCAGTATGTTCTTGTCGTTTCGTTGCTGTTGGCTGGCTGCTTCAATTCGCTGCAGGTTGTTGAGCAGGCTTCGTCTCATGGTCACACGTTTTTATGGATCACGTCCACATGCGAGGAGAAAGCAGTTGGGGAGGGGCGCGGTGCGTTCACGGTGGACACCTGACAGGTGCACAACTGGATTTTCGATTGCCCGCCGACATTTTGAGCGGTGCTAGATCGCGCGCGGCGAATTTGTATTTGCATTTGGGCGATGCGATTTGTCGTGCCGATGTTGCGCCCAGTCCAGAACGGCGCCACGTCGCAAATCGTTGTTTGCACCTTGATTTGCGCGGTGCTGAACCGCGCGCCATCAGTTGCGCCTGCATTTGGGCGGTGCAAACGCGCGCGACGTTCGCTGCACCTACATTTGCACGGTGCAGCTGCGCGCTTTGCTTTCTGCACTTCAACTTGGGCGGTGCAAATTCACACGTCGTTTTTTGTACCTACGTTTTCGCGATGCCAAGACACGACTGGCCGTGATTGAATCTTCAAAGACGCGAGACAGGCGCGAAAAATATACGCTCGAACTCAAGTTTGCGAATTTTCCTGGCCCAGGCAATGCGGGTTGCAAGCGCGCGAACGGTCGCAGCTTTTCCACGCGGCGTTTCCCAGCAACTGGCGCGTCTGGTGTCCGCGACGGGCCAGCATGGCACAAGGGAATTTAGCCTAGCAGCGTTGGGTTTGACAAGGGCCTTGTTCGCTTCTAGGCCCGCACCTGCGATTTCGCTCTCGTATCGCCGCCCTTCCTCCTCTTCCATTTTTTCTTTCTCTGTCCTGTCCCAGGTTCGCCTTGTCGCTCTCGCCGGCGCCGTCGCGCACTCGAGGCGAGGCGGATGAGATGATCCAGCGAACGGGCACATGCGCGCAGCACCTGAGTTGAATATTGCCCCACCCCCTCACCCCACACCAATGGCAGCATTTGCATTCCTGGCGTTCCCCGCCCGAGTCGTTGAATTTCTTTGGATTTCTGGGGGCGCCCGTTGCTTGACCCTTAGAGGAGGTCGCGGGCGGGAGGGGAGCTGGGGGGCTCATCGCGTTATCTGTGGACCCCGAGCAAGTTATCGGACTACGTCTCCCCGGCCGTTATCGAAAGTGGGGTGAAAGAGGGGGTGTTCAGGACAGGGTGGAGGATAATCTTCTAAGCAAACAAATAATCCTAAAATCTGTTGGCGGCCTTCCGAGGCCGTCTGGGACCATATGAGATTGTCGGAAGCCCGAAATGGCAAGAACCAAATCAATGAGTTTCAGCTTCCTGGGGCCCGCCTCGACGTCCGCCTGGAACAACTTTGAGCGCTTCGGAGGCCTCTTAGGCCGTCTAGAAGCCATGTTGGGCCATCTTGGGTTGATATTGGGTCGCCTTGGGGTAATGCTGTTGCCATCTCAATCATTGTGGAGGCATCTTGGGACCGTCTCGGAAACAGCATTGGGCCGTTCTAGCCGTTTTGGGGTTCTTGAGCCGTGTTGTACCTTTTGAGCCGTCTTGGGCCGTCGGGAGCTGTAAAAGTTGAGAGCGCCCATACATCGCATCGGAAGCAAGGACAGATACTTGGCGCACGTGGTCGGAGGTAAACCTGGCCGCTGCCTGGGAAAGGAGAACAAAAGGAACAGGGGGCTGGGGTGTCACAAAAAGGCAACACATATTATTAATCGGACAGGCGGCTTGTGGTTACACAAAAAAGGTAGCGAGCCCATGGGGCAACAAAAGTCCGGCACGATGTTTTGGGCTTGACGGGGAACGGCTCGCGCATCACAGAAACATGAACAGATAGTTCGGCGAAGACCTCCCA